TCATCGCAAACTTTGGGATACATCGCCGAAGACATGACGTCGTGATCGGTAACGGGTTCGCCGTGTTTTTCAATCAACTCGTCCTTCAGTTGAATGAAATTAAGTGGCGGCAAGTGTTGACCCGGACGGCCACTAATCGGTGCCAACCCTTTCAATATTTTACTCCTGAGTGGTTCGGGGAAACCTCCGTGAGGTTCACCAATAAAGCCCTGCATAAACTCCACTACAGAACTCGGAAAACTCAACTCTTCGGCCCTTTCCTCCACATCGCGAGCGGACAATGAGTTCTGAACCATAAATTGTGCCAAATCTCCGACCACTTTGGAAGATGGCGTCACTTTAATGATATCACCCAACAGTTTGTTGGCCTCGGCGTAAGCCTTCTTGATCTGTTCAAACTGTTTCTCCAGACCGAGAGAGTAGGCCTGAAACTGGAGGTTAGTGTACTGTCCGCCGGGTATCTCATTCAAGTAGACGTCGGCGTTACCCGACTTCATGGTAGTCGTGCACTCGAATGGGGCGTATAGTGTGCGGGTCTGTTCCCAATAGGCAGAGTAGTCGCTAATGTGCGGCAGTTTTAGACCGGTATCTAAGGCAGTGCCCGCCAGAGAGGCCACCAGAGCTCCCATACTTGGCTGTGATGTCATTCCTGTAAAAGGCATAACATATAAATCCACAAAATTATTATTTAAGTAATTCTCCGCTAAGACATACCGGACATGGAATCGACGGCGACGTCGACCACATCAGCGCCCGCATCGGCACAGGACAACATTGAGGCCACTCCCGCGCCGGCCGTGTCGTGAGTGTGTATATGAATAGGAATATCGGGATGTCGTGATCGAAGCGCTTCGACCAACATTTTGGCCGCCTTTGGCTTCAAGAGGCCGGCCATGTCTTTAATGCAGAGTATATGAGTTCCGGCGGCGACCAACTTATCCGACAAATTGATATAATAATCTAAGTTATATTTGGTGCGCTTCGGATCGGACACGTCTCCCGTGTAGGAAATGGCGCCCTCGACAACACCGCCCGCCTGTCCGGCGGCTTCCATACCCACCAGAATGTTTGGCAAGTAATTCAATGAGTCAAACACACGGAATATATCCATTCCCGCCTGTTTGGCCAATTCGCAGAACTTGAACACCACGTTATCCGGGTATGAGGTGTAGCCGACAGCGTTGGCGCCGCGCAACAGCATCTGAAACGGTATGTTTGGTATGAGTTTACGCATTTCGACCAACCGTTCCCACGGGTCTTCGTGGAGGAACCGCATCGACACGTCGAACGTAGCGCCGCCCCAATTCTCCAGACTTCGCGCAACAGCATCTGAAACGGTATGTTTGGTATGAGTTTACGCATTTCGACCAACCGTTCCCACGGGTCTTCGTGGAGGAACCGCATCGACACGTCGAACGTAGCGCCGCCCCAATTCTCCAGACTAAACAACGGGTTGAAATTGTTGGTCACGTATTCCGATATTCGCAACAAGTCGTATGTGCGGACTCGAGTGGCCAGTAGTGACTGATGAGCGTCACGGTATGTCGTGTCCATCAACAGCAGTCCCTTATGGTTACGTACGGCGCGGGCGAACGCTTCGGGACCGTCTTTATCGAGTATGTGTTTCCAACCCTTTGGCACTGGATTTGTCTTATCGATTGCGGGCACAGCGGGTGTAATATCCGATGGTTTAAGTTTGGTGGCCAATATAGTGGACGGGCCGTTCACCATGACGTTTGCCAAGTAGTACAACAACTTCTGGGCCCTGTTCTGTGAGGCCTCAAACTTGAACAGTTCCGGATGTGTGTCTATAAAGTTTGTGTCGTACGCCGTCTTCAGGAACTTATCGTTCTCCAAGACATTCAATAGAAATGGTATATTAGTTTTGACGCCCCGAACGCGGAACTCCCGGAGCGCGCGATTCATTTTGGCGGCCGCCGACTGGATGTTTGTCGCGTGTGCTATCACTTTCACCAGAAGGGAGTCATAATATGGCGATATTATAGCGCCGGCGAAAGCGGACGCCCCGTCCAGTCGTATACCAAACCCTTCGCCACTTCTAAACACCTGTGGAAATGACAATTAATTTAAATTTTTCCAAAACTCAAACTACTTATAAAGTTATAAAAGTTTTCTATACAGACCTCAATACGCCCGGTGTCGGGTTGGAAACCCTTTGCCGGGTCTTCGGTAGTGACCCGACACTGAAGTGCTGTTCCCTCCACTTTGATATTCTTCTGTTCGAGTCCCAGATTAGGCAACGAATTACCCTCTGATATGCGGATCTGTTTCTGAACTAAATCAACGCCCGTTATCTCTTCGGTCACCGTATGCTCCACTTGTAATCTGGCGTTCACTTCAATAAAATAATAGGTGCCGTCGGAGTCCAGGAGGAACTCAACGGTACCGGCGTTCTGGTAGCCCACATGTCGGGCCAACTTCACCGCATCGCTCAGTATCTTCTGGCGCACCACTGGATCCAAGTTGGGTGAGGGAGCGATCTCTATGATCTTCTGGTGCCGGCGCTGTACAGTGCAGTCGCGTTCGTAGAGGTGAACAACGTTGCCGTATTGGTCGCCGAGTATTTGCACCTCAATATGTCGCGGGTGTTCAATGAAGCGCTCGATAAACATGGCTCCGTTCCCGAAGGCCGACAACGCCTCCGACGACGCCCTCTCGAAGTTCTCCTCCAACTCTTTCATATTGCGCACGACTCGCATACCGCGACCGCCGCCCCCGTAAGCGGCCTTAAAAATCACTGGCAATCCGTGATTTTCGACAAACTCTTTGGCGTCGCGGGCGTCGGTGATCGGTCTGTCGGTTCCGGGCACTACCCGTACGCCCGCTTCGATGGCCGCTTTACGCGCCTCCACTTTGTCACCCATGCGGGCCATCACGTCCGGCGACGGACCGATGAATCGGATGTCATTATCGATACAACTTCGGGCAAAGTCTGAGCGCTCGGACAGGAATCCATAGCCCGGATGAATGGCGTCGATGTCGGCCTCTTTGGCGATTCGGATAATTTCGGGAATGTTTAGGTAAGCGGCGACCGGTGGCAGCCCTTTGCCCACCAGATAAGCCTCATCGGCTTTAAGCCTGTGCATGTGCATTTTATCTTGCTCAGAATACACGGCCACCGAACGAATACCCAATTCAGTACAGGCCCTGAATACACGTATCGCTATCTCACCTGCAATTTAAATAATTAAGTAATTAGTGATTAAATTAAGTAATTGTTATATAATTTTTTTATTGTTGATAACAAAAGACAGACCTCTGTTGGCGACCAATACCTTCTTAATGGGCTTAACCTCGAAGTTGGCGTTGTGTCGATTGGACGACAAGTGCAGCGCCCGTATGGACGACGGCAACAAATACACACTCTTGCCATTACTTAGGCTAAAAATACGCGTTATGGTAGCCATCGATGTCGTGACCAACGAAATAATATCTTTATTCTTGATTTAGTATATCATTAGTTTTCTGTCCAAAAACACATTAAATAAAATGTATTGAAAAACACTTGAATTCAGTGGAAATACAGTATTTTATAACACAAATATTTTTTTCTGATTAGATTTTAATCCGTGAAATATATTTGATAACAATGTCTATAACATTGATTGAATTATCAATATTACCATAATAAAATGGATTACTAAATAGTGATTCAAATTGAATTTCAGTCAATAACACAGTAGAATATAGTATATATCAAAATTAATTTAAATACACTTTAATCTCAAAATATATTTGATAATAAATTTTAATTTTAATCAATTTTAATATTAAAACTTTGCAAAGTTCTATAACTTTACTGTATATGTGTTTTAGGAAACTTTTTAATTAATTAATCTCTTAATTACTAAAACAGTTACTGTATAATCAAATCATGATATAAACTATCGTCGTATTAAATATACTCATATAATAAATATTCCGTTATTATTAAGTTATATATTCCCTAAATATATGGCAAATTGTTGACTATATTAACAAATAAGTTGTTTTAATCGCAAATTCAGTTAATATTTAAAAGTTTTTCCCTGTTTTTTGTCAAGCGATTAATTGACGCATTCGTGGAGACAGTTATTACAACAAATGGTATTAGTTTTCTCTCTCATATGAAACACAAAAAAACATTAAAAAACTAATAAAATTAATGTGAATTAAGTTGCAATCAAATGGTCTGATAGGTGTGTAGAGAGACCTCACATGTAGAGTACAAACCGAGTCTAATGTATCGCCTGATAGACACTCTCGACTCGACTGATATGATCGCCAAAACAGACTTTGATTTCTTGTAAATAACATTGTCTTACATTTTGTACTCTTTTCACTCAATCGAGTGTTAATAGCGTTAAGTAAATAAATATTTGATAACAATTATGGGTCTAAACACTCATTTATAGCGCAAAATATTATTCAATTATCACTAATACCGCTGACCTTCAGGAGAGAGAGAGAGAGAGAGAGAGAGAGAGAGAGATGTCCGGGTCAACACTTGCCGCCACTTAATTTCATTCAACTGAAGGACGAGTTGATTGAAAAACACGGCGAACCCGTTACCGATCACGACGTCATGTCTTCGGCGATGTATCCCAAAGTTTGCGATGAGTTCATTCAGTTCCGACGCGAGTTTGGACCCGTCAGCCTCTTTGACACCAGAATATTCCTCACCGGACCTAAAGTGGGCGAAGAGTTTGAGGTGACTATTGGTTGAATGATTGTAGACATTATCGTGTTTACAGTGGATATTAACTCTTGATTTTATTGATATCCTATGAAAGGTAACGCTTGAAAAGGGAAAAGTACTGCACATCACAACCCTAGCCGTGTCTGAGACCCGTACAGACACTGGCGAACGGGAAGTGTTTTTTGAACTCAACGGCCAATTGAGGAGTTTTCTCGTCAAAGACAAAGCCGTCACTACAGTAAGACGTTGTCTAAAGTGGTGTTTTGCGATGAAATATAAATTGACCCCTTTTTAACAGGAGATTAAGTCGAACCCGAAAGCGCTGAAGGGTGTGAAGGGTTCGGTGGGCGCCCCTATGCCGGGCACTGTCATCGAAGTGCGTGTCCAAGAAGGCGATAAGATAGAGAAGGGTCAGCCGCTCATCGTATTGAGCGCCATGAAAATGGAAATGATAGTACAATCGCCGGTCGCCGGAACCGTTAAGAAGATATTCGCCGCTAAAGACATGAAACTGGAGGGCGACGACCTCGTGATGGACATTGAGGTCGATTAAGACTGTTGTACTCAATCATAGGGTGTATAAAGTGTAACGATGTGTGTATTGAGTGTGCAATCGTGTTATGTTTTAACAAAATTTAGCCATAATTTCCAATCTTATGTTACAAAATGAGTGATTTAATGGATTTTCAGATTACAGATCAATAGTTTAAGACAAGTGTCCGCAGACCTGATCTGAGCTGTTTTGTCCAACAAATTATACAATCAAACAATTTGTCTTTCATTTAGAGAATCTAAGTTTTATTACAATTAATTTTTTAATTACTGTATAAATCATTTACACAACTAAACAAATCATTGGCCGAAAATTAATGATATATTACATTCATATTACGCGCATAAATACAATCAATTTTATTGTATAAATTAGGAGTTATTTTACAAATTTAGATATTAATTATATTTTATGAATTTAATAATTATTGTTGAATATATTTTATT